AAAAAAAAAAAAAGTAAAGAAAAAAGTATTTAAAAATTACGAACGAGCTTGTAAAATACAACACCACAAAAAATTGTTATTGCCAGCCACAGAAGTTTAGTGCAACTGTGGGTATTAAAATGATCAAATCTTTGAATGCAGCAAAAGTCTTCGTTGAGTTTGCAGGCGAGATACAGTGTTTTAGGTCTTTTACCGCGATGAATGTAATCATACGTACAGTTGAACACTGTATACATAAGCCACTGTTATTAACAGTAAATTTCTAATAAAGTTTTAAACTGCATTAGAACATTTATTATAGGCAGAATTTTAGATTTCTGATGTACAGAACTTATCAGTGTACTTATGATTGCTCAAAGAGACAGTGCTTACAATCATATATGCTGATAACGGTATTAGTATCTGACTGCAGAAGGATAAACTAAAGAGTGAAAATCTTAACTTATTATTCCATTCCTTTTCTTTCTTTTCCTTTTCTTGAAGCGAGAGTAGTGCAACGAGTATGAGGAGGAAAAACGAACAAAAATCGTAGCTCAAATTACCCTTAGTGTAATTAAAATAAAGTGTCAGTCTGTAGCTTGCGATGATGTGACAACAAACGACAAGCAGTTTTTACAGTGGTACTATATTCCAAAACAGGAAAAATGAAGAAATTCAGTTTAAAGTCCGTTCCAAAAACGGTTTATAGGAAGGATTTTGATAAGTTATTGAATAGTTTTGCACCCTCATTTTCCAAACTGATATTGTTCGCAGAAAATACCTCTAGAAATGTTCAAATTTTTTCTCTCCACAACTACCTTTCCTAACTGAAAAGAAAGACTTTAAAAAAACTACAGGAGAGCTGAATGGAAAACACATATAAGCAAAAACAACAACTTTAAAGTATCTATCCAATAAAAAATTTTCTCATTTGTACCTCCTTGTTGGTCAGGCGACACTTATAAATGAACGATTAGTGGGTGAAAGCAGGTATTCAAACAACATTTTCAAATATTTCGACAGGATTTTTAAAGTGAGAATTAATTCGGCCCTTCAAAATGATTCTATCAGAATATTCGATTTCTTACATCGATCTATTCAACATTACAAAAGCGAATTAAAAATTAGTAACACTACTGTACACCGACTTATTTATCCAAAAACTCTAAGTGCTAATAAAGGTTTTGACTTTGAGGAATTCTTCTATCATTTAATGTGAAAGAAAGAATGAAATGATGAAAAAACTTTTATCATTTCATTCTTCCCACAGTGTTGTTGAAGTTGCCCTGCGAGTTATAACCAGTCGAACGTTCACCTGATTAGTAAGGTGGAAAGATTTACAGTCTTACAGACAAATCAAGCACCTTTGAAAAATAATTTAAAATGCTTTTGGAGCGGTTTTTCTTGAAAACATTTTTAA